AGAGAATGTTAGGAAGGTACACGTGGCAGCTTCCCCACTATCAAAGCACGGTCGACGCTGAGTAAATGATTTTGAAGGAACCACGAGAAGAGTGAATGAGCGTGTCGGTCGTGGGCGCAGGTATGTGGAAGGGGAGTGGGCGCGCTGTGTGGAGGGCACCGCAGACACAAAGCTATGGGGACCGGAACGCGCCTGGCAAATGCAGGCACCGGCGGGCGATCCCAGCACGGAAGTCACATGGGGGGCTGGGAGGTTAGACTGTGGACCGCGGGGGCCCTGGATGGCCCCGAATGTGGCCTTTGTTCCACAGACAGCAAAAACCAGAGACGATGTTTCATCTCTACGGAATCCTGAAGGACCACCCACCACCAACATGGGGACAGGGCAGTGTCGGGCTCTCTGGATAATGAAGCAGCCGCTTGCCAGGACGCGAAAAACAGGGCCAGTGTGACACGCGTCGTCCAGACTGGCTTCTGCAGGGGCTGCTGGCATGCAAATCCCGTAGGCAGAACCTACGCCTGGGACCCGGTTAGGAAAACGTGGGAATGAACGCCACGTCTCAGGTGCCAACGACAGCGGGTTCTCTCCGACGGAGCAGAGCGGGCCGTTCCTTGCTTAGGCTCCAGAAAGAACTTCCGCAGAGAGGGCTCTGAGGCAGAAGGTGAAACCGCCTCCCCGAAGCCCAGGGTGTCACGGCAGATGGAAACGCCGGAGCGCGCGGCCCCGGGGGGCTGGGCACCAGGACGCGTTCAGCGCTGCATCACTAAGTACCTGCTGGGTGCTCTGCTCTGGGCTGGGCACAGCGGAGGGCAGGGGGAGATGCCAGCTGCGCCCACCCCCTCCAGGGGCCTGAGATGCACAGACACCCAAACGTTCGTGTGGGATAAATGGTGCAGATGGCGGCTCAGCGAGGGGGGTCGCTGAATGCCGCCCCACAGGAGTGTGCGGCGGGGATGCTGAGAGCCAGGTGCTCAGCTGGGGAGGCCAGCATCTCCCCCCCAGGCCGGGGGCACAGCCCCTGGGAGGGTGGAGGGGGTGGCGGGGACACGGGCAGGACTCATCAGTCACCCAGTGCACCTGGGTGCTGGGCGGCCCCCTAGGCGGCCAGCCGACGGGCCGGTTCAGTGACCCTGGAAGAAGCGTGTGCCTTCCCCGGGCCCCGAGCTTCATCACGCCTTCAGGAGCGCCTTCTGCCCGGCACGCTTCTCACAGGGGCATTTCGGCATAATGTCTATTTCTCTATTTATGCCTGTGCTATATTTAGCCCTTTCTGAGAAGGAAGAAAATCGTTTTTTAAAGACGCTGCCGACCCCGCTAACAAACACTTCCCAGCAGCATCAAGGCTGCGGGCGGGAGCCGGGAACCACGGGAAGGTGCCTGCAGGGAGGCCTGGCATGCACGCGGCCCCTCTGCCTGCCAGGGAGACGCAGGTGTGGGCCGAGAAGCAGGTGAGGAACATAAAACGGGAGACCGGCAGGGGGCGGGTAGCTCTGGTTCTCGGCCGCGATCCAGCCGCCTGGCAGAGCGTGCGCTGCTCCGTGGACCCAGGTTTCTGGCCTGTTTCGGGCACCTCTGCCTGGCGCACTGGGCCGTCAGCCCCCGGGACACGAGTTGGGGGTAGCACGCCATCGGTGTCAGGGGTCGGGCCCCAGCTGAGGTCCTGCCGAGCCCCCTCTCTGTGCAAGTCCTCAGCTCCCTTAGTCACGCCCGCATGCTCATTTACATTCACTGGACAAACCTTTACTGAGTCCCTATTGGGTGACAGCCACCATGCTCGTTGCCGGGCATTGTGGAGCCAAAGGCCCCCAACCCAGAGCCCAAGCCGGGACACGTGCTGGGCACAGAGAGCAGGCCAGGAGCACGGCGTCTGTACTGGACCCCCTTCCCAAAGCACCAGCGCACCCCTGAATGGGCCAGCAGGGTCCGGGTGGGGGCCTCGTCTGGGTTCCCAGCCCCAGGAGGCATCCCTGGCCTCATGCACTCGGTGTCCCACACGTGCACGCCGTGTCCCCTCCCTAGGCTGTGACAGGGGTCCCTCCTCCAGGTCCTGGCTCTGTCCTCGGTCTCTGGAACCTGCGTGGTCCCTTTACCACCCGCCCACCAGTGTCGAGCAGGGGAGACTCGAGGCGCCTGGTGGCCCGGCAGAGACTTCTCTGCACACCCGAGGTCGGCGTGGGCTGGGAGGGCTGCTCGGCTCCACGGCTCGCTCTTGGGTGTCATTATTACCTGTCCCTCCCACGTTCCGGTCACTCTGATGAGAAAACAGCCGCGAAGCCCTAGCCCCGGCCCCAGCCCTCAGAAGCCCCACGGGTGCTCACCAACCCCTGCCCTGGGTGACGAGGCCGGTGGTCAGTGTCAGTGGCTGAGATGGGCTGAGTCCCGAGTCTGAATCCTGACTCTGCCACTCACTAGCCATGTGGCCTTGAGCACATTCCCTGACCTTGGGGAGTGGGCGTATGTATGGGGGTGATACAGAGCCCCTCTTCCTGACAGGCCCGAGGATTCAGGAGACGAGGTGCATGTGCTTCTCTGGGCCTGGCCGAGAAGCACATGGACCCCCACAACGTGCCCCCAACATCCTTCCTGACCAGCGAGGGAGCCCTGGGCAGAGGGGCTATTTGTTTCCTGCTCGTACCCCCCGGGGCACCAAACATGGTTTGGGCTTGCAGTGGGGGCCTCACGGAGGTTCGAGGGACTGGCCACCGTGCCTCCCGGCTCCTCCTGGGCTGGCAAAGCCTCGGCGGTGGAGCCCTGCGTGGTACTGCCCCAGAGCAGCAGCCCCCTGACAAAGGCCTCGCCCATCCCCACAGCCC